TGACTCCTGGTTAACATGTATTAAAAGGGGTCGTGTTTAGTCACTATAGTGTGTTATTTTTTGACAATATTCACTCATCGTGACAGTAAAATAGGGCATTCTAAGTCAATCTACTGCAGTAGCCTATTTCCTCTCTCAATCAGTAGAAAATGTGGTTTACACCCGGTCATGCATGGAAAAAATAAATACCGTCATATACCGTGAAACCGGTATAATTTTGAAAAATACCCTGATATAAATTTTTGGTCATACCGCCCACCACTAGATTTAATATAAAAAATGTAAACATAGTATTTCTTGCACTACCATGGAAGTCAATGGGGACCAACAACTACTTGGTTCTTCAACATTCTTGAAAATATCTTTTGTGTTCAACTGGTTTGGAACGACATGCAGGTGAGTTTTGAATTGTAATTTTTTGGTGAACTATTCCTGGCATTTAATAATCAAGTATTAAAATATTATCTGGACAAAATTTACACTAATTACAGCATTTTTTTTAAAATAGAGAATATTAGTTTTTTGTTCCTGCTATTAGAATTTCAATAAAATTTTTTTTAGCAATTTTCACAATAAATTCCAAATAGCCATCCAGCCAGCAAGTGTAACACTGCAATGAGAGATTTAATATAGGAAGAGTTACTTCTGAGAAACATTCTAGCACTATTTGTAAGCAGATGCCATTAAAGGAATAGTTCACCAGAAATTAAAATGTTGTCATCATTTACTCTCCCTGATGACGTTCCAAACCTGTAAGAGTTTCTTTCTTATGTTGAACATGAAAGAAGATATTTTGAAGAATGCTGGTAATCAAACAGTTGATGGTCCCCATTGACTTCCATAGTATTTCTTTCCCTACTATGGAAGTCAATGGGGATCAACAACTGTTAGGTTCTTCAAAATTTCTCAACATTTTTGGGTGAACTGTTCCTTTAAGTTTTGACGTTATTTAAATCAACAAAACTGATGCATTGTATACATTCAAATACTTCTTGGTCATTGTATATTGGCCTATCTGACCATTTTTAAGGAAGAAACATGTCACCTTCAGATGCTGCAGGTTGGCCTGTAGTAGACGTATGTGTGTCATGATCTGTCTGTTGAGGTTTGGTCCTCCGCTGCTCTGAGAGGAGGAAGAGAGGAGCTTCTTCAAGTCAATACCTGAGTCTCCCGCGGCCACCGGCTCCCCGCTGCTGCCCTGCACATCATCATCTGTGCTGCTCTCGCCCAAGCCTCCATACACCTCCAGCACCATGTAACTGCCTGCAGAGACTGACAGAAAACCAGAGGAGTGGTTACTGGATGCAGCCAGGTTGAGATTAAAGTGTAAATGTAGTGTAAAATGTAGGCCAAATCTGAATATGCATACTACCCTACTATAAAGTAGGTGAAAGCAGGCTGTATCATCCAGAATATATATATTTTTAAATCATCTGAAACATGTGACATTCCAAAGTGAATTATATAATGTAATTAATGTGCACAAAAGCACACATTTGTGGTGGTGAGTGAGCACTACGTTATTTGTAAAGCGCATCTCCCACATGCTGGCAGTTTCACATCACACAATTATTTTTCTATAACATTTATAAATAATGGTTGTCCCAGGCAACCAATGTCCTACACAACTGTGCTAGTTTCAGGTTTCTCCTTTTACTCTGGCCTTTCTTTTCAGATTCAAATCAAATCAACATTTCATGTGTATTTGCTTATTAATTTGTAACAGTCTTATATTGAGTGGGACAATGTGCGGTCAAGCTGGTCATTATCAAGTCCCTTGCATTTCCTGATGACTTCCAAACAAAAAAAGGACAACACACCACAATCCTCAGACGTCTCAAAGAAGCCTGTGTCTCCGGAGGGCAGTTCCTGTGCGTTCTCAGCCCTCTCTGAGCCATTCTCAACAGCGGACCTGATCGCAGTGCTGTCCTCAGCCCCCTGCTGAGAGCCTGTCCTCGCCACATCTTCCTGTTGCTCTCGCCTCTTGATGTCTCTGTCTGTGTCCTCCTGACTGGACATGTGGTTGATCAGGAGCTGCCTTAGTGTTGCCACTGAAAAACAGAAATGAGTCGAGAAATTGACAGACTTGCAGGGTTAGAGTGAATCCAATGTGGTTTTATTGTTGGATTTTAGTAGGTCTACACAAATAAATTTTTCAGTGAGAGGGACAGCTCATAGCAGCACTGTAGTCGTGTCTTCTACTCACGTGTTCTGAGAGCTTCATCAGCTCTGAGTGGCTGGAGCTCGAAGGCCTCGGCCTCGTCCTTGTCTATGGCGATGCCCAGCCTCGAGCGCTGCTTCAGGAATGTAAGTCGATCGGTCATATCGGCCACCACGAACGCCTCATCATCTTCAGCCTGATCCTGTAGTGAGTTTTCCTCTTCTTCTTCTTCATCCTCCTCATCAGATTTGGTCTCAAATGGGTTGGTGCTACATGGTGGGGTTGGCATGACCTCGGTTCCATCTTTTTCTACAGAAAATATACGGCAAAACTGAGGCGTACAATTTTTTGAAAGATATTTCTGAGGATGGATACTGGATGTGTTGCTATTGCTATGCTATAACTACTCTATTTGAATTAACTACCTTATTGCCAGACTGTTATTAAGGTATCAATTTTATAGTCACTCTCACAAACATCTTTAAAAATAAATGAAAGAAACAGTTTACCTGGAGACTGAATGCTCACTAAAGAAATGGGCTCAGAGTCTTTGTTTAGTTTCTGAACACCAGAGTTTATTAACTCGACCGCTTCACGTTCCCCGCTGCAAAACATGTCATATGTTTTACATCACCTTACTGCTTATAAAACACTAATCATATTATAAATGATGTAGAAAACTTAAACTCACTCAGTCTGAGGTAATGGAATGATGTTGTGTAGTTTGGTCTTCATACAATCGGCTCTTTGTGTGATCAGGCACTGCCACCTAGTGATTGAAAAATCAAAACAGATAGTAAACAGCATTTTACTAACTAAAACTATATATATACTAGTTAATTTCCTAAAACTGCTGAAAATCATTAGGTCTTCTTTAGGAAATGCTAACATGATAATGAAATGATGATTGCAAATATGTTGAATATATATATATATATATATATATATATATATATGTTGAAAAATTGAACCCTCAATTTAATTATATAACTATAATTATAATATGCAATATGCAAAAAAAGAAAAAAACAAAAATTATAACTGAATAAATACAAATAAAATTCAAAATATTAATAAATACTATAATATTTTTTAAACAAAAAATAACACTATTATATAAATAACAAATAACTAAAATGATAATGGTAAACAAAAAAGTCATCCATTGTTAATTAATTTTTAGAGGCTAAACATAGTGAGGAAAATTTTGAGCTTTTAATAGCAGATACTTAAGAACACTCTAAAAGGGCATATAAAATGGAACTATGGGTAAAAAAAAATGCAGCACTCACGTCTTTTGCTCAGATACGGTTTGAGCCATTAGTTCATAGATCTGGGCTCCATTATCAGACATAGAGAGCACAAAGAATGACCTGTTGTCTGTAATACATTCAGACAATTATGTTAGTTCAACTTACTTTTGAATATGCTTTATCAAGAAGACATTAAACACCTGTTCTACACATTTTGACAAACGTATGATGTAATACATTTCACCCACTTTTCTTGTCTGTTTTTAAAAGCAACACTTACCGGTGGCGACCGAGCGCACCATCACAGTGCTGAGTTTGATGATGGGGCTGAAGATGTGTTTGGTCTCAGCAGTGCCCGCCAGATTCTTACTGTGGCATTTTAAGATCAGCTTCTCATCTTGCCTTTGAAGTAGCACCAATATATCCTCCAGCAGCAATGTGTACAGCTCTGAATACACACACACACACACACATCATACGAAAACATTTCACAATAACATTAAAGATGCCATATTATACACTTTTGCCGCATTTAATTTGTGCCCTGATGTTTTCCATGATGTCAGCCCTAGAAGACATTTCTAATTTGAGTCTGGTCTACAGTGAATTCTGTGACAAGCCACACCCACCAATAGTTTTATCTTTGTTGACCTTCCAGGACAGTGGTCCCTCATGCACCATCTTCCTCTTAGTCAAGTCCAGGTTCTAGATGGAGAGTAAAATCAATTTTGTTTATAATGAGTTGCCAGGTTTTCACAACAAAACCCGACCAATTGCTACTCAAACCTAGCCTAATCGCGTTTCGATGAGGGTCCCCTGCGTTCTGGGGGGTAAAATGCATGTTTTATGACAGGGTTTTTTGTTCATCCTCGGAATACAAGTGAAGATATTGTAAATTAAATCGGGTTTCTGTCCCTTCATTGACAGCCTAAGAAACTTTCACTTCGAAGGCCCAGAAAGGTAGTAAAAACATCACGGAAGTAGTCCATGTTACTCCAGTGGTTCAACTGTAATTTTCTGAAGCGACGAGAATGCTTTTTGTGCACTAAAAAAAAGACTATATGCAACATTTTTATAATTCAATTTAGAAGTGGCAGAAATTCTGCGTTTGTACAGCAGTATGAAGACGAAAACTGAAATAACTCTTGAGTGAAACATTTCTCATAGCAAATATCCTGTGCAGTGAAGCCTGTGACTGCCACTGCTTTGCTTCAACCATGAAACATTATGCAAATTTATATACTTATTCGATGTTATGTGTGTGCTTGTGTATAAGGAAGCAGAATACAACTCTCTATCGCATACAAACGCCCACGTGCATATGCAGAAAAAACTAAGCTCAGATTTGATTCTGAAATTTTCAGAATCGCTGAAGACAGAATCTAGTCAGAGAATTGATTCCCCCCACCCCTATTTAAGGTTTATGTGTATTAACGTTACACTGAACAACAAGCCTAATATTATTTTTTGCGATCAATTGTGACAAGTGTAATTTGAGTGTTGAAAAAAAAGAAGAAATTGCTGTACCTGTGTATTTGGCGATGTTCTCCAGCAGGAGGGGATACTTTGTGAGTCTTTGTGTCTCCACAGGAATAATGTCCTTTAACTGTAGCCTGCGACAATGTCGGTTACTCTCTGCCTCCTGCAATACAAACACATTAATTACATTTACTTACATTTATAGTATATTAAATTTATAATAGCAATTACATTTACTATATTTCCCATCTGGAATGGCCAGATAAAACACACACACGACTAAAAGCAAGTAGAGTTACTTACAATTGTTATGAAAGCAACCACTGCTCTATTAGGCCACTGACCTGTATGAAGGAGTTGAAGCGCTGGTCTTTCTTCTGTTTGCTCTTGATGAGTTCCAGGGCGAAAGGCTGATTACTGCAGTACGTGCCCGCAGCTCTCTTGATCTTCGCCTCTTCTTCTCCACTGAACTGTGGGTAAAGACACAATTTAGGTGTAAAACATCCCTGCTAGAAAATCTAATAATAACTGAATTTAGATGGTTCCTAGCTGGCTAAAACTAGTCATTTATGGTCATTAGTTGGTCCAAGCTGGCTTAGTTGGAAGATCACATCAATTTGATACAGCAACAAATCAGCTACCATGTTCGTGAGCTTGTCTACCTTAGACTAGTACAACCTGGATTTTCAAGCAGGAAATTTTCTTTAATGCACATTTGCAGTTTCCTACCCAGGAAAGCAAATCATCTCCTATTGAGTCAATGAGCGCCGTCTCATTTTTCTTCCGAACCGCAGTCATTTGTTCTGTTAAAGACACTGAGGTGAAACGAGAAGGAAGAGAGTATTTAGAAGGAATCTTTACTTTAGATGTGTTCAAGAAATTGGCGGGTTTGTAAAGTTACGAGACTTACTGTGAAGCTGAACGATCTCCTCAAGGTTGCTGAAGATGTTTTTGATGTCTGCAGGAGGGAGGATGGCCTCTCGGATCAGCGGCTGGTAAAATAAATTCTCCAGAACCTTCATCATTCGAACGTGTGCTCTCTCTGTGTAGAACAACTCTGTGAAAACAATGACAGGAAGGAGAGTGGTGGTTACACAGGATGGTTTGCAATTGTTCACTGCTTCTCAAGTTTGTGCTGGGACTAACCAGAATATTTGTTTTCCTGGAGTAAAATAAGGGAATACATTTTCAGTTGAAAAAAAAATTATGCAATTTTATTATAAAATTAAATATATATGTAAGGTTAAAAATATATGCAAAAATATAAGATATGCAAAAATATATATGTAAGGTTACTTGTGTTACTTATTCAATTTTAATTAATAATGGTAAAAACATTGATGTCCAGTAACAAACAGTGTTTCAATCAAAATCAAAAATAAATTGTACTACTAGCATAAAAACCAATGGCGAGAGATCTATGTAGCCTAAGAGATCCATATGTCTTGAATTGTGTAACAAATTATCTGATATTTAATGAAGAACAAAAGACAATTTTGTGTTCATTGTTCATCTATATTATGCAACTTGATTTAAGTTTCTGAGAAATTAAAATTAGAAAAGAAATTGTGATCACTTTAGAGAGACACTTCCCAAACCACTGTTCATCCGGTGAACCACACTTGTCACTTACCGTTGATGACTTCCTGTCTCTTGATTTCCTGAGGGGTAAGTGTGGACAGGACGTCTCTGCTCACCAGCGTCTGCCAGTTAGGAGGCTCTAGCTCTACCTCAGCACACTGATCATCTTCACTCTGCACCTCTCCAGAGCCCAGCGGCTCCATCCTGCTGTACAAACACGGCAAACGCAATGAGAACATCAAATCGCATGGCTAATCATTTAAATTCATAAAACGTTAACAAATGATTCATGTATTACATTTTGAACAATAATAGAGCCCAACAATATCTGTAATATTTACTGTTCTATGATTTAATGCTAATTTATAGTAAAAAAAAAAACTGGTAATCTACCAACTTTAACAGTTTAATCAATCTTAAAATGCAATCAACTAGTAGCATTTTAAAAAATTAAAATATATTAATTAAAATATTCCATAAAAACGTGTTTTAATGAATGTTATTATTATTATTATTATGTTGAGGTAGATTTTACTACACAAATAGTAATATATTTGTCATAATTACATCAAGTTTTTTTTTTATTAAAGGGGTCATATGATGCGATTTCAAGTTTTCCTTTCTCTTTGGAGTGTTACAAGCTCTTGGTGCATAAAGAAGATCTGTAAAGTTGCAAAGACTAAAGTCTCAAATCCAAAGAGATATTCTTTATAAAAGTTAAGAGTCAACCACGTCTACCTAAGTTTGAGAGAGGCGGGGCATAGAGGACCTACAATAATGTACAGTATTTGAAAAATAATGTGTTTTTTGAACATTAAAGCATGTCAACATATTCTGTTACACCAAATACACAAAATAATGATCTTTAAAATAGCATCATATGACCCCTTTAACAAATGACATGGTGAAATGCTTAAGAAATTAACTCTTAAGAGCAGCTCTGGAGATGAAGTTTATGTAGAGTGTGCTTATAGTGTCCTTATATGGTTATACAGATAAAAAAATTGTAAATTATA